TGTGTGTCCGTGTGTTGCGTGGCGGTGCGTGCGTGTGTGGGTTGGCGCGTGGCGGCGGCGGAGTTAAGACTATACTTTCAGGGATCATTTCTGTAGTTGGTGACTAGAGGGGAGTGATCTCACCTGATCGGCGTCACAAGCCACGAGGAGGAGCGAGGTGTTCTCTCCTGAGCGCGAAGCGGGCGTGCGGTGCTGCCTGGGCAGGGGCCGCTCGCCATTGATGACCGTTCCCGCCCCTGTGGGGGCTGGGAGGGAGAGAACACGAGCTGAGTGGTTTGTGTCCCGGCTTTTTTTTTAAGCAGTGGTGCTAAAAGCAGATTTGGGGGGGGAGGAGCGCGTCTCTGGAAAGGGCAGATTCCTACCCGGAAGTGTGACCCTGTGCAGCGTTTGCAGTCTGGTCTGCGTCATGTATTTCAGAATGTGCAGTCCATGATCACTCATAGGCGCCTGGGTGCATTTTCGTTAGCAGTGACAGTAGAGGTAGCCAGGCAGGTTTAGGTTTTAATGTCATAGAATCATTATAGAATGTGTGTGGGGTTGGAAGGGACCTTTAAAGGTTATCTAGTCCAGCCACCCTGCAGTGCACTGGGACATTTTTAGCTAGATCAGGTTACTTAGAGCCCCATCAAGCCTGACCCTGAGTATCTCCAGGGATGGGGCCTCCACCAGCTCTCTAGGTAACTTGTTCCAATGCTTCACCATCCTCAAAGTAAAGAACTTCTTACTGATATCCAGTCTAAATCAACCCTGCTCTAGTTTAAGTCCATTGTCCCTTGTCCTGTCCTGCACGTCCTTGTCAACAGCCCCTCCCCAGCTTCCCCAGCCCCTTCAGGTACTGGAAGGTGCTCGAAGGTCTTCCCAGAGCCTTCTCCCTGCCAGGCTGAACAGCCCCAGCTCACTCATGCTGTCAATATCCACAGTGAAAAGAACTGCCTTGAACGTGTCTTGGTACCCGGGCCTGCAAGTTGGGCCGTGGTATCGTCAGGCCAGCTTCGGTGCGGAGCAGGGCGGGTGGGCTGGACTTGTTCTTGGTGAGCAGCGTTCATGAGTGACGAGGGGCTGGGGACAAACTGCGCGGGCTTTGCCTTTCCCTGCGGCCCCGATCGTGCGTGGGCGGCGGCGGGAAGAGGGGGGAGCGGCAGCGCGCGCCGGGCCTGGCGGAGCGCGGCCTGTGATTGGTGGTTGGGCGCAGAAGATGCAAACGAGGGGG